ATTCATCCGGACTATTTGTGTTCGTATATTTTACTAATAAACCTAGTTTTAGACGCAAACAATCGCCTACACATTTTAAGTTTTGTTCAAAAAATGAGTTCATCAATTCGACTACTTTTTTTATAAGTATGTTAAGTGATATGTTCGTAAATTTTTAAACATTGTGTGGCGACGCTGTCGTCGCGCCACAAGTGAAACACATCGCAGCCTAAATCGCGCTAACAAAGTTCCAAAGTTAAAGCAGTATATATAGAATAGCTCCGAATTACCAATCGGAGCGTTGGCCACTCCCAAGGCAGAACACCTTGCCCGGCGGGAGATCTCCCCTTTTCCTTCCACCGGCTACATTGTTGACCACCTGACGTGATATGAACACGAAACCAATAACCTTCGGAAACTACAACTTCAAACCTTCGTCATCATCTTCAAGTACCCCATTCATTCGCTCCCGAGCAGATATTGTCTGCAGTCTTCACATTCTGCAAAGCCATCTAGATTTAAATAGGTTCATCGCAGCACTGGAATAATAATGCTTCCTGTTCCTTCAAGCTACTCTCTGCACTACAGTGTCCGGCACGGCTCTGAGCCTTACTGCTCGCCTCTGCTTCATGGCACTCTCGCAGATTACTTGCCTTCTTCTCGACTCACCACAGACTACAAAGTAATCCCTGGCACTTGCTCCGGCTCATCGTTCTCACCGGCATCACTTGCAAGTGCGTAGTACGGCATGCATAACACACCGGCATTAAGGACGCACCGGTAATCGGACTGCACTATTGACCTCGGGTCTGAGCAGGGGGGTGATGTGGCGGCGCTGTCGTCGCGCCACAAGTGAAACACATCGCAGCCTAAATCGCGCTAACAAAGTTCCGAAGTAAAAGCAGTATATATAGAATAGCTCCGAACTACCAATCGGAGCGTTGGCCGCTCCCCGGGCAGAACACGCAATTGTAAATGATTCCTTTTTACTAAAGTACAAACATATAAATTTAGAAAAAATTGCACCTCTTCAGGTGGGAAAACTTGGGATAAAGTTTTTAATTTAACTACTTAGACGACATTCTAGTTGTTGCCCTTAGCTACAGATATGCCTAAGTCCAAAAGGGTCAGATGCTTAAACTTTTAATAAAACGAAAATGCTGACTTCAGAGAACTAGTTGAAATAAAATTGATTCGCAAATTAGGCTGTGATTCTTCTATATGCTAAGTCACCGATTTCAGAAGTTTTTATGTTTAAATTATTTTATTTCTTTTTAGATCTTTAGGGTTCGCATTTACTTTTAATTAAAAAGTTATTTTCTAGCCTTAAATAAATATAACACACCGTAAGCCAAAACCAAGCGTAACCTAGTTGTAACTAGCTAAACCCTAAAAGCCAGATAAATAAAATAAAATGACTCATTTCATTCGTCATTAATCACATACTATATCGTAACTGAATCAGTCGTAACTGAAGTATAATGCCCAAATCGGTGACAAGAAGCAGCCTAAAAGGTGACTTCTAATCACCAATCTACTTGTGAACAGTGGCGATCATGATAAACCCTTCTTTTAACAGAAGAAGCCCAATCCAGCTGTGGATTTTCACGAGCGTTTGATGGAAAATTAGAGACTGATCTATCGCTTACAATATTATCATTTAATAAATGTCTTATGACAGCATAAATAAAATTAAAAGATACATAATATGTGCTAACTTCTTCTTCGTTAGTCCGCTTTTTTTTTAATAGAATAAGGGCGACAAAGGAGCACAGAGTCAACCTGATGGTAAGTGGTTGCTGTGGCCCATAGACATCTACATCTATCCTCGTTTGCAAATGAAAATGCAGATGTCAACTGTGAGGACTAAGATAGAATGCCTCTTTTCCAGTAAAAAGGGTCTCCGGTTCTCTACATTCATCATAGACGGAGCATTAAGCTGCTATTTTACGCTGGTATTCTGTGAGGGCGTGGTTCATCCCCGGTCGAGCCAACCCATTCGTGGTACAACTATACTATTAATTTAACTGGAGCATTGCTCTACCACGTAAAAAAGCTAAAGAACAAAAAATTAACTCTGCACTTTTTGTCAAATAGCATCTCCTAAGCACTAGACTCCTTTCTTGTCTAAGATTCCGGCTAGGTAAGTATCACCCTCCTACCTATTTTTGCCACCATATAGCAATGCTTGTACGGCCGTGGTCTGAAGAGTATATAAATACACATAGTACATAGAGAGGCAGTACAATTACAAGCTGTGAGGCATTCCTCAGAGATGACAACACATTTTTTGCTTAAAATTGGTTGCAGGTGTTTATGGACCGCAGTAGCCACTAACCACTGAACTGTGAATTGTAAGTTTGATAGTCGCTTCTGTTTTATATGAAAAAAAAAATCACACAGTTATCAATCAATCGTATAAGAGAGAAATTATTATAATATAATATTACTCAAAACTACCATTTTTGATTAAAGTTGGTAAAAATTATTACGCGTACATCCGCTCGATAAAAATAATTAAGTAATTTTTTACCAACTATAATATAATGGACTTCCGCAAAGTAACGCCGTTTTTGATTTCATTAATATATTAATACAGTGTAGGTAGTTAACTTTAGCTTAACCAAAGGAAATTATAATTTGTTGTATTATTTAAAAACAATTGTGTTACAATAAGCGCAAAATTATAGCTTGCGTTGTTGGTAAATGTCATTCATTATGCACTTCGCAATGCAAGTGACGGACATGCAATTTTTTCCGAAGTAAAGGTTTCAGCAACGCCCACAGAAATACTGATAAAAATTTTAATAAAACTCAGGGGAGTTGGAATAATAATATTATTATTATTTGATTTTTAAGAAGTTGAACTATATTAGAATGGAATAAGCTAAACTAGTGGTCGCCTAGTCATTCAAATTCGACCACAATTCATTTTGAGTTCATATGTTATGCTTATATATTAAATAAAGGTAAACATATTATTAATACACATATACAAATTACAAAATAAACGATTTTTACATCGAAATACACTTTAATTACTATGAAAACGTTTGAAATCACACAAAATTTACAGCTTATTTGGGCAAATTAACAGTAATTATTTGTTGACAATATTTTAAAATTGCTTGGCCACAATCTCTACTCTGTGCGACTGTTTGACCCCAGACTATTTGGTGTTTGACATTGTTCTTATATGATTGTTGATGTGAAAAAAGTGTGGTTTGCAAGACGATGTTGTGACCAAGATTAAGATAGGAATGCTTCGGTTGTTTAGACACGTAGAAAGAATGAACGAGCAAAAGTGGGAAAGCCAATTTATGCTACAGAAGTGGATGGTAAATTCACACGAGAAATATAGACGGAAGTCAATCGACCAATATTGAAATACATTACGATACACTGCAAATGGGCTAGATTAGAAGCACCCTTAACCGACGAGTGTGTATGCGTAGATATATGGATGTAAAGGAGGCGAGTGTCAGGATCGCGCCAAATGGAAGTCCGTAGTCTCTGCCTACCCCTCTGGGTGACAGGCGTGAGTGTTTGTGTGTCAATTGACCAAATTGGCGATATATAGAAGATAAGCTAAATTAAGAGTACTGTTAACCAACGAGCACATAAGCATAGAAATATGGATATTAAAGAAGAAAATGTTGCGTGGTAGGATCGTGCCAAATGGAATTTCGTAGTATCTGGGTGTTAGGCTGATGAGACTTTATGTATGTATGTATGTATCAAGGGTAGCGTTGTAAAGGCGAAATGAGATAACATAGAAATGACGCTTAGCTAGTGTAGTCCTGTGTGTGACTGTTGTGCAAATTATGGTTTTGTTGCGTTTTTTAAATGGAACATATGTCAGTGCGAAGTATCGTGTGCAAAATAAATAGCTGTCTCACCATGAGTACTGGGCACGTTTGAGGGACGTTTTATACCTACGTGGTTTCCTAGATATTATTTTTAGAGTGACGCTCCAGAGGCAACAGTGTAGTAACATCAACACCACGCCATGAGACGATGCAGTATTGAAAGCAAAGATTGCACAAGCGCATAGTAGACACACATCAACGTGTCACGATCAGCAGAATTTCTATGTTTAATAAAAATAGGAGCCATTTTCCTTATGCAAGAAGTAAGTAATTGTATATATGCATGGACCAGTTGAGACGGTAATCAAGGATTAGTCCAAGGTACTTTATGTCAGATGTTGAAATTAGATTTGGACAGTTGCAATTTATATCTTCACTAACACATGTGTATGCTCTTATATGAAAATCAGTACCAGTGGTTGAGTGTAAAGTCAGTCAGAGAATGTGATGTACTTTGTTTTATTTAAATTTAAAGTTAGTAATTTATCATGAAGCCAATTGATAACCTCCCTTAAGGCATCCTCTATATGTCGTTTCACCTGCACCCAGTTCTTCCCGTGTACTATCAAAGCTGTGTCATCTGCGTAGGTGAAAATTTTGCAGTTAGTGAAAGTATAGCTATTGATGTATAAGAGAAAAAGTTAAGACCCAAAACGCTGCCTTGTGGTACCCCATAAGTCAGATTTATGTTCCTACTTAAGTAATATTTTACCTTGGCATACAATATTTATAAAACTAACACGGTATTCCGTTGATGAAATTGATTATATAAAAATAAAGTAAATGGAATACATGTAAAGTGATGTAATAAATTACTTATATTGTTACTCTTCGGTATTATAAATTCTGATGATTCTTTATTTACGCAACCCTGGTAGTTCTGCTGTTAACACTGTTAAAGCATCTTTATTGTATTTTACTATAATAACTAAAAACAACATAATATTGAACATTATAATATTAATATACATTTTAAGCAGATAACACCAGTAAATGAATTTAATGTGACGTTATAAATACAGCCCTGGAATATAATTAAATACTTGATATAAAATACAAAGCCAGGCATGTCTACGATTGCAGTAAAAAACTGTATAACAGATGTTTAGAAGTGGTAACAGAAGCGTAGAACTTCACTGGCTAAATCAAATCATGTCTTATTCAAATTTAACTTCAGAATTCTTTAAAAAATTTTGTAAATATATATATTTATGTGGTAACTCTTATTTGTGGATAGAAGAAATAGAGTTTTCGAGTTTATTTTTAAAAGTTTACAGAAAATTAACTGATTTAATAACCGTCTGCATTTATATATTTATATCCATGCAATTAGCTGGACTTTTCACTCAACCAAATTTGACTGAAAAGCAATATTATGATAGATTTGTACTCAGTTTCTGTCATCCTGTCACAATTGTTTTTTATTTATATACCGATTATTATAAGAACACTACCAAAGAAATAATTTTCAAGTTGGCCGTTGTTTTGAAAAATGTTTACAATGATAAAGATATTGAGAGACAGATGTTACGAAAGTCGAAGTTGTATTCAGTCGCAATCCTATGCAATTTTAGTACGACCTTGATTTCGTATGGATTCGATGGACTTGTGCAAGTAGCATGCAGAGGTAAATTGACAAGCTTTGAATTTTGATTATTCATAATCATTCTGTTACGCGACATCTATTCTGGATTAATAAACGAAATAAGACGCGTATCAAACTAATATTATTTGCATTTTCATAATTTATTTACATCTTCATAGTTACAATAATAACAAAATAAAAACTAAAATTATAGATTCCTAGACAACTGCTTTCGGTATGGTGTCAAGAATATTGGAAATATAATACACGTGAACACTACGGACGAAAATTCTTTAGAGATTTGCTCTATATTTGAAATTTGTACATATTCATATTCTTTATAGTTTTATTTCTGATGCTACCCAGTCGCCAAAGGGTCTCTTACGAGCCCTTATGCCATCGTTATTGTAATTTTTTCTATAACAATTTTAGAATTATATTATTGCTGTGATAGGTTTCTTCAGTATATTTCAAGGCACAATGTTTTTCCAGAAGGCACCTTTACTACGGTTATAACAGCATGGCCAGATGTAGAAGATAGAAGCGTCTATGCAAACATAGGAAGAGTAGCAACCTATATTGTTTGGTGGCTATATGTGATTCGTCTATCGGCAACCTATTTACTTATGACATTTTTAACGATTTGTCTGAGCTATCAGTATAAAAACTTGCAAAGTTATTTTTACAACCTTGAAAAGATTTTCGATGAAAACGAGTTGAGCCAATTTGAAAAAGAGAAAAAGTATGAGAGATCTGTGAAAATTGGAATAAAACTGCATTCTGAAACAAATTGGTAAGTTATTGCTTAAATTAAGCAGATTTAGAGCACCCTGTGGCGAGTGAAAGGAAAAGAGGAGATCTCCCGCCGGGCAAGGTGTTCTGCCCGGGGAGCGGCCAACGCTCCGATTGGTAGTTCGGAGCTATTCTATATATGCTGCTTTAACTTCGGAACTTTGTTAGCGCGATTTTAGGCTTCGATGTGTTTCGCTTGTGGCGCGACGACAGCCCCGCCATAACCCTATTACATTAAACTAAACTAAACTAGTTAAACTAATTAGTAGAGAAATAGCTCGCTATAGGAATAATTGTGAGTGAAGTATAAAATGTAGTAAATACCATATTTTCAGTGATAGTTCTAAAGATCATTATGAAATGACTGTTGCACTTCATATTCCATATATTATATTAAACTGGAAAATCTTTTATAGACAGTTGAAACTATAGCAATAGCATTAATACCAAAAAGTGTAATAATAAATAGAATAAACTGATTGTCAGAGTGCCCTATTACATTCATAACGATGTAAAGATGTATCTTAGGAAAGACCGTGTAGTGACGGTGTGAGAAAATCGATTCTAACCCATATCATTCCGTGAGTGGCGACAGACCGAAATAAACTCAGTCATAGGCAGCATCGTCTTTCTAAAATTATCTAAAAAATAAAAAAAAACTTCAGTTGCCACCCCGCCTGGCAAGCGCGGCAAGATCCTGCCTAAGAGAAATCTCTGGGGGAGACCTATGTTCAGCAGTGGACTTTTATTGGATGCAATGGATAGATTTTAGAAAATATAGCATATAAGGAACATCAATGTCAATATCTTTAATTCCTTGGTTCATATAGATGTGTAACCATCTTGTTTACGCTAGGCGTAAACTACCCATAACAGCGCCGGGAATTAGCGTCAAAGGTGCGAAATGTCTGTTGTTGCGTTACTTAACCCACCTATTAAGTGAGCCTATTAAGTATTAACACACTAAATCTTTTCTACAACGGAAAAGACCCTTGTTCAGCAGTAGGCTTTATGTGTATTTATAACATCATGGTCTATCATAATCATCGCTCTATCTGAAATACATTAGATTTCTTTAAGGCCATTTATAGGAGATCATAAATCTTCCATGGTTATGACAATATTTCAAAAGCTTTCCGTAGTCTTACAACACCCATGTGACAAGATGGAGTGATGGATTCCTTTAAGATACAACAAAACGAAAAGCATAATAACATCGCAATTAGACTATCTATATCAGTATACACAGTGTAGGAGTAACAGTATACTCCTACACTGTGTTAATCATATTTGCTTCCTTTCAGGTGTGTAGACAAAACTCAAACAGTTTTGGCTTTTGTTTTTAACGGCCAAATAATGATCAACGTTGTCCTAATTTGTACGGTAATGCTACAGATGGCGGTAAGTACCTTATTCTTTTTATTTATAACTAGCTGGTCCCCGTGACTTTGTTTGCGCGGAATCCTTTTTCAAAATAAAAGTAGTCTAAGTTGCTGCTTATAACATCAGCTGTCTGTCAGTGAAAGGAGCGTCAAAAGTGGTCCAGCCATTTTGGAGATGAGCCGGAACAAACAGACAGACAGAAAAACATTGTAAAAATCGTGTTTTGTAACAAGCACCGTATATACTTTCCTATGCATTTAGTCAAAAGTTGTTATTACGTCATTACAAACAGACACTTCAATTTTATTTATTGGTATGTATAGATTATAACAGTCTTCGTAACAGTCTACTAGCTGGACGTAGTCCGCTCCGCTTGTAGGAAAGATTTATCTTAATGAGGGCTGTTAATCTTCCGCGCACTAGTTGACACTGAGGTGAAATTATTTGTTACACAAAGTCACTTAATTGAGAATTTATTTTTAAATAAAAGTTTATCAGTTTCTAGAGTGTTATATTAATACACAAAACAATGCCTCAGTGGTATGCTCTTTAATTTTGTTGCACATTTTTAATTCTATTTTTCTGCCGAGTTCCAAAAAAGAGACGGTACTCAATTTGACTGTATGTTTTTTTTACATGTGTTACCTCATAAGTTTTTACTGGGTAAACTGATTTTGATGACTTTTTTTTTATTTGAAAGCAAGTACTTCTCGTGTGGTCCCATATGAATTTGATCAAGGTCAGACCAATAGTTTTTGAGTTAGTCTTAATCACTTATATTGAAGTCGGTTGTGCAAAATTTTTAATTTTAAATTATTAATTTTTCTACTTTTATGAATATCTGTGGTTTAGTTTATTTATTTTTAATCTAATGAATATAAAATATAACTAATAGTACAGAAAGAAACATTAACTTATACATTTTTTTAACAAATTAACTTCCCCGCTATGAAATCTCTCAAATATTACACCAGATTCTTAAGTGGCGCCGCCCTGGTGGCAGAAAAAGACATGGATGACCTCATTATAACGTTTGATAGGCTGATTGATAATCAAAACAACAGATGTTTTGTACCTTTGACATCTGTTACAGCGATCACCATACAAGAGGGGCGCGGCAAGACCTTCTTTGTAAAATTGAAGTAGCAAATAAACTTGCAGACGTTCCGATGGTACCTGGCTACTGCAGTCCGTAGACATCTAATTAAAAAAAAACTGACACGTTGCATTCGGTAAGATGCGATGTGTCCTCTGGGTACAAGAATTAAATGCCTCACAGCCGGGCTGGAATCACAAACTGACTTTCTATAACCTTTTCTTCTTGCTTTAGACCAGAATACAGTCAGCACCTGCATTGCTGTTTACGAACAGAAATAGACCCAGATGAGCTCCTAGAGAGAGAATGAGTTCTACCGTCTAGTAAAAAGTTTATAAATATTTACAGGTTATTAGGCCTTCCGTCTCAGCTCCCTAATGTGAATTAAAATCTAAAAAGCTGACCATATTTCTTTGAAATTCGTTATTAAAATGTTATTATAATCGACGCAAGACTATATTATACACATAACTAGCTTTCACAGAAGGGAGCTTAGCTTAGCTTAGCGTAATCGTATTTTATACGTGGTAGAGCCATGCTGCAGCAATATTAGTAGTATAGTTGTAGCACAAATGGTCGGCTCGACTGGAGACGTACCACGCTCTCACAGAATACCAGCGTAAAATAGCAGTTTAACGATGCTGTGTTTCATATGGTGAGTGTAGAGAACCGGGGACCCTTTAACTAGAAAAGAGGCAATCCATCTTAGTCCTCAAGAGTGACAACGCATCTGCATTTAGATTCTTTATTGAGGATAGATGTGAATGTCTATGGGTCACAGCAACCGCTTACCATCAGGTGGACTGTGTGCTCGTTTGTCACCCTATCCTATAAAAAAAATCTGGGATGGGGATTGGCGATCGCACCCGTATATTAAATCCCGTATAAATACAAGCTTGTTGTAACCGTTGTGCTAAGATTTTTAGGGAATATCTTAGTTTATAGCCGCTTCTATCACTCAAAATAGATGAGAATGGGTAAACGTTCCCCTCGAGTTTTATGTTTATAACTCTCCTCGTATAAGTCTGTTGCCAGCACTACACGACGTGTTTATTTTTATACATTACTTAAAATATTAAATAACTAACTGTACTTTACTCAAAATTTTATTGACTGCTTTATAGAACTCTGAGCGTACTATAAGTAATGCCCTCGCAACTGTCACGACGGGTACAACTTGTTTAGTATGCACCGGCTTTTTTATGTGGTTTGCTGGAGATATCACTGTGGAGGTTTGTATTATATCTTTTATTATGTTTTTATTTAAATTACCTTAAACTAAATATTCGAAGACTCTGTTGTATTGCTTATAAATATTGAGTTTTAGTTTGTGTTGGTATTGTTCATTTTCTCAATATCTACATTAATAATTAAAAATGTTGTACAACTGACTTCAATATAAATTATTAAAAATAACTCAAAAGATATTGATCAGACATTGATCAAATTTATATGGAACCACATGAGAAGCACCAGCTTTCAAATAAAAAAAAGAATCATCGAAATCGGTTCACCGAGTAAAAAGTTATGAGGTAACATATATAAAAAAGAATAAGAAAACATACTGTCGAATTGAGTACCGTCTCCTTTTTGAATTCGGTAGAAAATCCTGCAGTAAAGGTAACTTATTTTATAAAATATTTATATATTGAATTTAGAGTAATAATAGAGTTCGTCGTATTTGAATATGTTGGATCTAAATTACTCCGATTACTCCACCTCAGCGGTACATTGTTGGTTAAACCAACGGCTGCGTTTCCATTAAAGACGTGACGAGGACGCGAAGCAAAGCAAAAAAGAAGGAAGCCGAGTGGTGCGAGGGTGTATAGTGAATTCTTTGTACTAATCCTGTGCGAGTAAGGGGTGTGTTACGAGTATAAGCGCGAAGCGGGTTGGTGAAGAAAGCAGCTACGATGGCGAATGCGCCGCAGACGTTTTGTATGTAGGAATTAGCGTAATCTATCTATAAATCCACTAAGATTTCTACTCTTAAGTAAATTTGGGTTCTTCAAAAATATATCTTCGAAGTAGAAAATTATTTGGTAATTACAATCGACTGCAGAACAGGCCGAGGAGGCCTCGTGATAGGTTGTAGTGATGACGGTAATAATTGAGCTTGCATATATTTATTTATCGAATGGCTTGTGTAATAACGTAATGAAACCTAAATTCAAACCTAACAGGCGGGATCCCTAAGCACAGCAATATACAGCTCGGGATGGGAGAATTGCGAAGGAGACTGCTCGGCACGAATGAGGCGTTTGCTGGTGTTTGCAATAACACAAAGCCAGGTATTAAATATTAGTTACGGTCTATTACATCGGTGACTACAGTCCTCCTCCATTGGAATATCAAAAGTATTCCATGTTCTATGTTTCGTGACCAGTTTTTCGTGTTTTGATTTTTTCAAAACTTAAAATTTGTTTAGTAATTAATCCCTAATCGTTTCCCATGGCGGTTTTTGTAAATACTGTCTACCATAGGAGAGGCATGTCCAACTGGGCTAGACACCAAAAACATTTAATTTCGCAACAAAATCTATTAAACTGACGTCGTTACGGAAAAAATAATACCTTTGTCACGTTTCTAAGGATGTGATTTTATCTTTATAATAACGAACAAATTGCCTATTAAGCAAGTATTTTTTCGGCTTGTCTTTTGACGCATTTTAAGAAAAAGAGCACAAACCATGCTACTTCCATGAAATCTATATTTTATTGAGCAGGCCGGTAAGAAAATTAACAAACGTTATGCGCAAAAAACTTCACAACCGGCTCGACTTTCGAATACCTTCATGCGCCTGTAGCTGTAGAGAACCGCAGACCGTTGGGGTGACTCTGCATATTGATTCTTAATCGGGGATAAATGCAGATGTTTATGGGCTACAGCATCCACTTATCATCAGGTAGGCTGTGCACCCGTTTGTCACTCTTATTCTGTATAAAATATTAACATAACATTAGGTTTTCCTCGCCGGATTCTCAAAAATCCGCCGACTGGAGTCGTATTCTCATTGTACTCTTGCCGTGTGTGTAATTTTTGATAAATTTAATTGATTTATTTTGTCAATAATGACTATTCTATATACTACAAATACTGAAAGTTATTGTTTCAGAAACCAGTGGTACTGCGTAGCTTCGGTATCGTAGATCTTTCTTACCAGTCGTTCGTAACTGTAAGTTTACATAAAATTTTTCATATCAGAAGCAATACATTTGATAAAAAAATGTCCTACAGGCCGAATTTCGGTCACGGTGGTCAGTCCCAACGGAGACTAGCCACCTGCGCTGGACAGGTTTATTGCGCACGAGTGTGTGCGTAAGCATAGGTGCCGTCTTACTACCCTCACTTTTATAGTTCGATGGTACGGTAAACCAACATGACTGGAAAGAGACTAGGCGGGGTCGAACGGCTTCACGTGCTTTCCGAGGTAAAGGAGTGAAATACCGCCCGCTTTCTATCTTCACTATCGGACTGCTAATGAGATTTTCTTAATAAATATTTAAAAAAAGAACTTCAAAAAATACAGAATATAATAAAATATTTTCATAGCAACTGTGGCAAATATTCTTCTATGGAGGAGGCCTATGTTCAGCAGTGGACTTTAATAGGCTGTAATGGATGCGTTAATGAAATATTTCAAAGAAAAGAAGGATGAATGTGTTTACTGGGCTCGGTGCGGTACTCGCATCTACCGCTAAATAGGAATAGTGTACTATTTTTTTGTTCCGTTTGAGGGTTAAAGAGAGCCGTTATATTTACACCCTTTTATAAAGGCATTCCTTTTATAAGGATATTAATGGACTACATAAACGAATTTTGGTAACAGTGACGAGTCACAACGGAGACTAACGATCTGCGACAGGTATGATAGTACACATGGTAGGTAGTCCACCTGCACTTGCTCTCATACTGCTCTCAAAGTGCGTACAGTGATCAGGCGCAGGACCGACAGCTTTACGTGCTTTCTAATGCACGAAGGCGAAACACCGCCAACTTTCTGACTCCGGGCTGCTCATGAGAGTTTCTTGATAGAAAAACGCAATAACTGATTTTGGTCCCACTCGGGATTGAAACCAGCGCCCATATGATAAGCAATTGTAGTTACAACCACTATACTAAATCAAGGAGGAATTCAAAATGTTTGATCATTCCTTTATAGGATTATAATAGGAGTTAACAACGCATCTGTAGTATTCTTTGTTGAAAGTCGTGTTCTGTGAAAGTCGGACCTAACATAAACTGAATGAAATGCATTTTAATACATGTAATTATATTTAAAATATTATAAAGTACTTTTCATGGCCACTTCTTTAAAACTTTACTTGGTTTATAAATTTTGGATTTGTTTTTACACCTTCCACTAGTGGGCACAGGACTCAAATTTTTGAGTGTTAAGGAGTAGTTAGTCAACTAAGCTGGTTTAGTGTTCCGGATTAGTAAGGAATAGAAATTACACATCCTAAATAGATCTTTTTTGTATGTTAGTATGTAAACGTGGAGCAGCGTCAAATGAAGACAGACATCTGGTTCTAAGATCACCAATTCGTACGTCAAGCGTGGCGAATAAAGCAAATTATTAAAGATTATTACATCATCATCATCATCATCATTACAGCCCTTCACAAGTCCACTGCTAAACATAGGCCTCCCCCAAGGAATGCTACAAAGCACGGTGCTGAGCCACCTGCATCCATCGACTTCCTGCATGTCTTACCAGGTCGTCACTCCATCTAGTGGTGGGACGCCCTACACTTCGCCTGCCGGTACCAGGCTGCCACTCGAGAACCTTTCTTCCCCATCGGTTGTCGGTTCTTCGAGCTATATGGCCGGCCCATTGCCACTTCAGCATATTAATTCTTTGGGCTATGTCGGTTACTCTGGTTCTACTGCGGACATCCTCGTTTTTAAGTCTGTCACGCAGAGAAAAGCCGAGCATTGCCCTGTAATCTAATTTATGTCATAATCCAGATTTATATACGCGCTAAATGAGTTTAAAAGATCCAGAAACACAAATACAGCCAAAATGGCTTACAATTCGTATGCGTACGTGTGGTTGCGCTACGGTATACCCTTATGGGGAAACTGCACAGACGTCCAAAAACTCTTTATCGCTCAAAAAAATGTATTAGAATTCTAGCAAATATTGATTCTAGGGAAAGCTGTAGATCATATTTTATACAATACAAGATATTAACAGTTACATCTTTATACATATTAGAATCATGTAAATTAGAAAGAAAATATATAGATATATTTAAAAAAAACTGGTTATAATAGCATAAATAGACATAATATACAACTTAGGAAAAGAAATAAATTAATATTGCTAAAACCACTTTATCTTTATACAATTCTGGACCATATTCCATGGCAGTTAAATTATATAATACATTACCCACAGATATAAGAGAGATGGAAGAATATAAGAAATTTGTGATAGCACTAAATAGCTTTTTGATTAAGAAATTTTACTATAAATTAGATCAATATTATGTTAAATAGAAATAAATAAATAAATGTAGTAATATGACATATACTAAATACTACAATAATACCTGTAATGTATTAAATATATATTAGTATTAGAATTAAGGTATTAGAAATTAAGGCTAACTTTATTTAATGTTTGTTATACCTTTGCTGGGTCCATGTGCTGTAATGTGTCTCACAAAACCACATGTAAATGCAATAAATAAATAAATAAAAAAGGATTATTACATAAATTAGATTATAAAGTATATTATAATTAATATCTAAGCAATATAAGCAACAATATTATGAAATTTAAAATAAATGCTGTGTTGTCGATCTTCTTTAGCAAGCAATTTAATATTTTAATTTATATTAATATTTTAATTTCAGATCGTCAAAGCGTCATACTCCGTGTTTTCATTATTATATTAAAATCACATAGTAAAACAATACTTAGTAATCTAAAGATAACACTAAGCTATAATGTTTTATTGTTAATTGAATGTTTTAAAATATATTGTTTGTTTATTTGTATATCACTGTTTAAGTGGATGCTCTGTATTATGAGAATTTTTCTATTTTTATTCATTCATTTACTCATCATTTTAACAATCATCATCATGCTCATCATTAACAGCACATCACACGTCCACGTCGGACATAGAGCCTCACCTAAGCAATCCCACAAAGCACGGTCCTGAGCTACTTGAAATACTTGTAATTTGATATGTTTATTTCTTCGACATAATAAACTAAGGCTTCGTTTGTCAAAGGTCTTTTTTTAAACCTACATTCGTCGACTTCCTGCATCTCTTACAAGGTCGTCAATAAATATAATGGAGGGCTCTTTTTTTACATGGGTAAATGCCTACTCGCGGGGGCGAGGACGGGTTATGTCGGACTCGCACCGACTAAAAACCCATGGTGTTCCACCTTCGTCGCATATTGGCAGGGCCACGGCAACGATTTCGCACACATCCGCGGCCACACCAGCGCTGGCCGCCACATAGCGGCCCCTACTCGGGAGAGGACTACTCCTCCCTCATCTCCTTCTCAGGTAAGGCGCACCAGAACACATGGCGCGCCCTCCTTCGCGGCCTTCAACTTCACATGTGTAACGAACGCCCCCGTGTCCGATGCGCGAAAACCATAGGGCCAGGAAATACTAGCTTTCAGAAGCACCGGCCTTCCTGACTACAGCGGCGGATCTGGTCTATGGCTCCGCAGCCAGCCAAGATTCGGCTGCGGAGGGTAGGAAGTGCGATGCCTCGCAATAACAACACTCCTCTCCCCCCGCAGCCCCATCACAACCGCATCAATTAACGGTGTGGCCCCGTCAGAGTCGCGGAATATAGGGCGAGTGACGCATCGTCATACCAACATTCCTCTTCCCCCGCGACTCCACCTCGGCTGCAGCGGTAGGGAGAGAGGGCACCCCTCTCGCCGCAGCCCACCGACACACATTCGAAGTGGGCTCGCCAAGCCCACTCGGAGTGGTCACCTCGGGCCAGCCCTACATCACGGGCCAGCCAAGGGGTTCCTCTTTGTTTACCGCGGATGACCAAGCCACGGCTACTAAGGGGATACTAATTGGGGATCAGCATTGTGCCACGCAAAAAAAAGTCAATAACGTTGACAGATGACAACACGTCAATATAGATAAACGTCAGAAGTGCGATCGTTTTGGTTACGTTTAAGAAAATACATTTCTGCAAATGTTTTCGGAATCTAAGTGAACTGTGCAGTTGGTTTGTTATGCGATAAGTTTTTATAAATTACGACTTGGCTTGAACAACGTATATCGATACTCTTCTTTTGCGACCTATCTGGCTTGAATCACGGATTTTAACCAAATAAGACTGTATACGTTGTATTTATTTGGTATGAATAAAATAAATACCTAATCACAATCTGAGTTTTATTTACCGTATAAATGCTAGGCTAAGACTGAACTGCTTACATTAGCAATAACATAGTAATGTTTCATAAACATAACCTCAAAATCTCTATGATAACTGCTAAAATTCATGTTTTCAGTAGTGTCCGTCAGGAGTTATTGTTCTTACATACAATTATGTGTAATTTCGGACTTAAAAAGGTATTTTTTTTCACCGTTGGTTCTCAGACGAACATTGTATGGATGCAGAACAATGTCCTTTTTAGATTTTAATAAAACTGAAGTGAAAAAGTTATAATCCACTCAATGGTAAGAAGCTACTGCAGACACACGCAGCTAACCTCAAACAAGGAAGACTACAAATGCGTTGTCACCTCTGTGGACTAAAATTCAATGACTCCCAGCCCCTATTTATACTAGCTCTCGATCCTCTCTATCTTTTCGGACTGGAAAACAGAAGTGCAAGCATTGCTGCTTGAAGACAGATAAAGGTAAGATGGTGGTATCTATTCTGAAGGGCTCCTTGACAGAAAAGGACTAATACCACTTGCCATAGTTACCACGCTTGGCAAGCGGGTCGGAAACCAAATTTTTTTAAAATTATTATTCTTTATTATAGTTGTGTTCATGAAGATGCTAATATTCTTGCTCATCTACTGTTGTAATGTCCTTCATATGTGAGTATATGAAACATAATGGGTAACACTATACAATTTTTGGTGTTCCTTCGCACTTCTTCAAATAAAGAAGGCTACAGGTATGTTGTCACTTATAAAACTTAGATGGAATCTAGGTGATATTACGTGCCAACTTCAGATCGGACATGTATGTATACATACATAAATAAGTAGATGTACCGTATGGTACACCTACTTCTTCTTTATTCTTTATCAGCCTGTAAAACTCACTTTAAATTTCTCAGAATTTTAACACCTAAGGCTATGTGTAAAATAATAAAAAAATGTCGAAGATTTTAATAATCCCTTCTTTTTAAATTCATTAAAGTTATTTAGCTCAGCGAGAAAATGTTAAAAAGAGACAGTGATATTGTTTTAAAACTGGATAGAAAAAATCTCTAAGAATCTTCAACATTATGGCTTTGCTATTGAATTACTTAAAGATGAAAAGGTGATCTTTAGCTGAGCAACTCATCGATAGTTTCAAATATCTTTAGAAGAGACTCATTAAGATAAAAAATATACTCACGGATAAATTTAGAAGAACTCAAAAAAAGTACGTATAAAACAAAATATCATGTATATTTGTGATAATAAAGGTAATTAATTTGGATTTTCTTTATTATTCGCTAATTTAAAATTGCAAATATCGAAAACTAAACGATCAAGTGACAAAAATTTACTAAATTAAGAAAAAATAAAAAAATTACAGGAAAGAATCATTTTTGTACTTAGAATTTTGTTTTTTTTTTTCATAAATGCTTGGGAAATGTAAAAAAATAATGAGGACTATAATCAGTACTTAATGTTGGCCCCTCTAGCTCGTCGAGCTGCGTCCAGTCTCCTTGGCTTTCTCCTAATCAAGTTTTTGAATAAAATCTTGAGAGATTGCATTCCATTCTTCCTGTAATGCGTTTTTAAGATTAGCAAATTAGCGGGGGCAGGATAGTTTTTAATTTGTATAATTTATTATTTATTATTAATATATTGTCATTGTTAGTGACCCATTCTCAATGACGTGGTGCTTCGTACGCGACTCCGTGCAAACACCTTCCCATACTATAACTGACCCTCCACCATATGCCTCTTTTCCAATGATGTCGCACTGAACGACTTAATTTCTTCCATCACCTGCATCAGACAAAATCTGGACTCAAACATCTGGACAAAAATCTATGACTTTGAGGTCTAGTTCAATTCACAGGTGATAATCCAGATTTTTTGAACATTTAATGAATTTAAAAAGCTTGGGCTCCTCCCAATTATCGAGATTGCGAGCAAAATTAACTCGAGCTACTCAATTGCATGTGGCAAGAAGCGAACCTTTGGCAGGCAAGTTTGAATTCAGTATTTTTATCACATTTCTTGTGCTTGCTGTAACTCCTCAAACATCTTAGATGTTTGTTCTTACCTCAGAAGAAGTTAAAGTCAGCTTTCTAAATACGCTGGTAAGGATGAACTGTCATTTATGGCTACAGTTTTCCGTTTACGTTCATGCCCTGCAAGTCTCGTATACTGTCCGATCTGCCGATACGTCTTGATAGTTTGGTGACAGCTTAACGCTGCTGTGTTTCGTATGGTGAGTGTTGAGAACCGGAGACCCTTTTTACTGGCAAAGAGGCTTTCCATCTTAGTTCTCACGGGTGACAACGCATCTGCATCTTGAGTCTTTATTGAGGATAGATGTAGATGTCTATGGGTCATAGTAGCCACTTACCATCAGGTGGACTGTTTGCTCGTTTGTCACCCTATCCTATAAAAAAATTGGGTAGCGTTTAAATCTGGTATTTTAATTCACACTCAACACGATAAACAAGGCAGCCAAGGAAAAAATTTAAACAAGACCTAAATTTAAAATCAAATTAAAAAAAAATATGCAATTATCCTTTTTTTAATAGCATTTACTAATGTTATGGCCAGTACACACGATAACTACAACAATAGAAATTAAATCTTGTTTTGCCTTTCTCTAAATTTCAAAATACGAATAAACTTTCCCCCGACCTATTCAGCTTTAGCCAGTTAAAAATCCACTGTTTGACTTCTCCTAAGTCCTTTGCAGGAAGGAAAGGTAGTGGTAGTTGTAGCACGAATTGGTCGGCTCGACCGGGGAAAGATCACGCTATCACAGAATGTCAGGGCAAAATAGCAGCTTAACGCTGCTGTGTTTCGTGTGGCGAGTATTGAGAAACGGAGATCCTTGTGAAAACGAGCTATTTTATTTTATTCCTGAGGGGTGAATTGAGGATAAATGTAGATGTATATGGGCCACAGCATCCACTTACCATCAAATGGACTGTTTGCTCGTTTGTCACCCTTATTGTAAAAAAAAGATATGTTGCTAAACTAAGACCGACAACGGTGCTACCCGTTGTCGGTCTTAGTTTTTTAAACCTAGCGTAAATTAAATAGTTATACCTCCATCTACCCAAATCGGAAGTCATAAGATTGTTTGGGCATTCCTCATATTCGCCTCTCACGATACCCATGGAACGAAATGGTGTAATGGGATCTATTACGTACAAACTTACATACACCGTGGTTAGGGTACCCATTATATATAGCTCGTTGAATGCCACGTTGTTCATAGGTCAAAAAAGTTAGTTATTGTGTTTTTCCATCAAGAAATTCTCAGTAGCTGCCCGGACTCAGGAAGTTGGCTGTGTCTCACCCCCGTGTCTCGAAAAGCACGTAAAGCCGTTGGTCCTGCGCCTGATCTCTCTCCGGTCGTGTCTGTTTACCGTCCCATCGGATTATGAGAGTGAGGGAATAGAGAGTGCACCTGTGTGCACTTGGGCACTATAATCCTGTCCTGCGCCGATGGCTAGTCTCCGTTGAGACTGGCCGCCGTGACAATG